AGGAAATGCAGCAGTTCCATTGCTAGCAGGGGTGCTAGTACTCCCCAAGGGTCCGACCGCTGGCATAACAGGAATAGGAGAGTTCGGAAGCCAGGGAGGAAGCGGAGTGATGGCCGACGCACGGGTGCAGTTAGGTCCAAAAATACCACCAGAGAGAGATACCGATGTATTGGTTGCCATGGGTGTTGAAACTTTAGCATCTTTCGACCGCCAATGGGCCAGGGCTGAGGTAGCGTTTGTAGAAGACGTGTTGAAAAGAATGGTTGATTGAAGTTGATTGCTAATAGGAGTTTGACGACTGTTCAGTCGACGATTAACAGTGGCTTGATGGAACGCTAGTCTGAAGGGCTGACTGCTTTCCCAACTTGATACAGAAACAGCAAATGTGGAGTTCAAATCAAGACGAGAAAAGACCTAAAAATTGATCAGACACGCGCTTAAGAAAATATCTGAACTAAGGCCAATGAGTAAAAGGAGTTAATTCACTTACTGGGAGACATGCAAAAATGGGACTTGGAGGAATCGTTGACAAGAAGCCAAACGATGAGATTTCATTAGCTGAAGTTGCCTTATCATTAGCAGGCATTTTCTTAGATTTGAGCTCATCCCGATTTATTACGGGCGCACTAGGTGTAATTGCGGTCACCGGGTAGCCAACGGGGGTAAAGTTCATTGAAAGATCATCGGGCAAAAGAGAATGGGTGGTAGGAAAGTCTTGATTGGTGGCTGTACATTGGGAAACGTAGGTGCTTTTTACAACTTGAGTAGTGCTAAGCGGCGCGGTTATTTTTTCTGCATCACTATCAAGTGGCAATTCAGAAACCTCTTTGACGGGACTGTTTGGATTGACATTCTCCCTACTGCCAAGTTTATCCCTCTCTGCTTTGATGTTGACATTCACGGGAGACTTGGTAGTTGAAGGTGCCTGCCCAAAGACAGTGAATGTCGGTGTAAATAGACCAAGGGAAGGGTTCATTTTGAACACCTCTTCGGGATCAACAAACTCACTAATAGAACAGAGGTTCTCGAACGCCGTCCACATGAAAGGATTCAGCTTGAGACATTCTTTGTAGCACATTTGAGCTTTAGGAAAATTACTCTGCAATTTATACACATCACCAAGGAGAAGAAAGGCGTAGCAAGCTTGTTCACCAAAATCCAGAAGAGTGTCAATTAGAGACTTCGAGGAGCAGTCAGATTCGAGAAGAGAATTTTCCGCCTCGCTTAGCATGTCACAGTCAAAGTAACATTTTGATAAGAGGTAACGAATTTTCGGAGACGAAAAGGTATTTGAATTGAGAAGGCGGATAACCTGCTTCGGTCGATTCATCCGATAAAAGCAAGTGGCCAGCAAATACAGGCTTTCTTCATTCTTTGTTTCTGCAAACAGACGTTCTGCAGCAAATAAAGCCTCCTTAAAGGCATGATTATGCAGGGATCCCCATATGTGCGCCGATATAGGATCTGAAATAACCTTCAGTTCGTTTATCATTCTATTAAGAGTATTTACACGCCTGAAGCATTTACCAAGTGTCTCATTGGTTGCCAGTCGAAAGGTAACTCAAATGGGAAAAATAGTGTAAAAAATTTACTAAATTTTTTAGTTGCTTAATTGAGTGAAATATTGTTAACTATCACGCATTGACTAAGGTTGACTAATGCAACAATTTCACTATGAATGTTGATTCAATTTGTACAAGCGTAAGGTAATAAGTAAAAATACGAAGTGATTATTCTATTTGCGTTTATAACCAAAATACTGTAGAGCGTGCAAGATTTTGTACACAATTGGCCATGGGACTGCCAAATCGAGCGCATTTGATCTTCGGTCTACCTCATTATTCTCCAGTTTTACTCATTGATTTAGTGACAACAACCGCGACCACTTAAACCAACTGACAATCTAGCGTTTTCCGTACGCTTTTGCCCTTTAAATACTTTTAAAATCTAAAATATTTCTCCCAAGTTTCCAGGTTCTTCACAAAATTTAAAGCAGTTTCTTCAAACAAGAATTAAATTTTCTCGCTAACTACTGCCGTAACATAAGTTCGTATGTGCAACGTCCCGAGACTACCAATTGGGCGGAAGAAGGCAATAAGAGAACAAAGCAGCTGTGCTTGAGCATGTCCCAGAGGCCAGTCCAGGAGTACGAGGGCCAGGCATATCCTAAAGTGACCGCTAAACGTCAGGTGATCACATAAACAAAGTATTACAGTATGATGTTAGTTTTAATTACATAAACTTAAATGATCATTGTAAATGATTGCTTATCTGATTCCTGTATGAATGGCCCTTACTGGTACCTGTCTTATCCATGTAGGCCTGGGCTCTTCTTCAGGCCATGACACATTCCAATCTCCACTTTTATAAAATACACGTAATGAGCTCTGCTTACTGTCTACT